ACTGCGACGACCAGCATCGTTTCAAAGACTTCAACAAGGCATGTTTTGACAGACAACGACGACCAGCATGGTTTCAAAGACTTCAACAAGACATGTTTTGACAGACAGCGACGACCAGCATGGTTTCAAAGACTTCAACAAGGCGTGTTTTGACAGACAGCGACAACCAGCATGGTTTCAAAGATTTCAACAAGGCTGTGCACACCAACACTAGGTTCTCATGTAAATTAGAAATGCCATTATAAGAACAGCGAACTCAAAATATTTTTTTAAAATGTTCTTAAAAAACGTTTAAAAGTCCTAATTAATTATAGCAGCTTCCCTTAAGTTATGTTGATTTAGCTGGGGGGTTTTCCCCTCTTTTTCTCAATGCCAGTTAGTTATTTTAGTAAAATTGAGCTTTCAATCTGAACTGACCATCAGAAAATTTATTAAAAAAATAAAAAATTAACCTATTTACCGGAGTTCAGACGTCACGCGTGAAGTTCCCTGAGTGATAGCCTTTAAGCAAAAGCAAAACAACAACTCAGTACTGTTAGTATCAAACATGTGGATTTAAGGAGGAGGGGGGGGTGAGATTTTGAAGATGAAGCAGGACGCACAATTAGACAAAATATATAGTCCTGTATAAGATATTTTTGTTATATATATCATCAAAGTCGTCAGCCTCCTTGAAGTAAGACACATACGAGGGGAAATTAGCACACCCGACATGGAGGGACCAATATTTCCTGGTATTTGTGTCATGCCTCTGCATGTTGACCTACCAGTCGTGTGGACTGTGGATATAGTGGGAAAAAAATCCTCTTGCAAGGACGTCTGTCTGCAAATGCAAAGCCCAAAGCGTGTCGTATTAAGTAAACAACTGTAGAATAACAGAATTTTTTTTTTTTTACTGACGTGTTTACGAAATGAATTTCTAGACTTAAACACACGTCAGGAGCTCTGTCTAAAATATCCCGATGTGAATCTGAAACCAAGGTCAAAGCTGTAAAACGTACTCTGGGCTAAATACCCCAATAAATTAAAATATTACTTAGGGGCATGAAAAGAATCAAATAAAAACTTCATGCTGATAACCAATCAAATCATCCGGTCAAGCCTTTTCTTTTTTTTTCGTGGAAATCCATGGGATTAATCAATAACTGCTGGAGTACTCGATTCAACAACATTGTAATCGATTTTAAAATATAAAAAAAAAGAATTGCTATCACCGTCACAAACATCAAACAAACAGGTCGAGTTGGCTGGACGTTTAGGTGGATCTGTTCAAAGGGAATATTTAAGATCAAATGGTGAATTTATTTGCTTCATTGTTTTATTTTATTATTTTTTTTTATATAATTTTTTCCCCCAAACAATATTAATACTTTTAACAATTCAAAAATTTTATCAGTGGCGATAAAAATTTTTTTTTGGGGGGGGGGGGGTTCGGAACCGCACCGGGTGACACCAACCCTGGCTACGATACTTGTAAGCCAATATTTAAGGGGGTCAATATGTGTTTACAATTGATTGGTAATTTTTTTTTAAAGATTTGAAAATGTCTGTTGAGCAAACACTACCGGATGGCCCCCAAGAAATGAATTATAAATTTATCATCCTATTTTGTAAGGTAGGAGCCACACTACATCAGCATGGCAGTTGTCATTGTTTGGACATAAGGAACCAATATAAAAAGTATTGCGTTTGTAATTTTTGTAAAATTTATAGTGAAGATAGTACGTCGAAGATTATTTTTCAATCGTCAACATCAATTGTAAAGCCGAACTACTTTTAACCCAATCTGTCAGAGATGATTGAGTAGCACGTGTCTCTCAGCCTACAGAGTAGCATGTGTCTATCAGCCTACAGAGTAGCACGTATCTATCACTCTACAGAGTAGAATGTCTCTATCAGCCTAAAGAGTAGCACGTGTCTATCAGACTACAGAGTAGCATGTGTCTATCAGCCCACAGAGTATCGCGGATCCACACAGCAAAAATCAATCGAATTTATAGCTACTAATCAGAGGCGTGAAGAATTCATATTATTATGTCACAAGAACTGAAATTGTGCCCTTATCAAAAACCGATTTTGATATGACTGATATTTGAATATAATCACTGACGAAAAAAAAAGGGTTGTGGGGGGGAGGGGGGGGGGGGGAGGGTTAAGGACTTCAGGAGTTTCATATTTTCGGTTCTTTTCAAATGATATTTTTTGCTTATGTTTGATGTGTATTTAGTATATTTTGTGGGTTTTTTGTGAGTGAGGGGTGGCTGATGCAAGCTGTTTCGTAACCCATTTGTCATAGACGTAGAAACTGCTCCTGTAAATTTACAGATGAAGCTAAATAGAGCTGCATTGTAATGGGACACTAAAGGCAAAGTACGACACAGTGGGGCCTGCACAGTTCTCTCGTTTCATTCCTAAAGCGATGCCCCCAGCTTCGTTTACACGCGTCTCGAACCTTGAGCATGTTGGGTAGCACATATCTGTGTGGGCAGCTGTTTTCTGTGATGAAGATTAACAAACATCATAAAGGAGTCATCTCACTGATGAACACTTGCAGTCCTTCATGAGAATCTCAATGACACAGAACGTTACTCCCATAAGATAAACGAACTTACTTGTTTTTGTAGCCAATAAGTCAATAAGATGTGCTCGGACAAATTGGCATAAGAACGAAAATGGGTATTTCAATTATTTTGAATTATTAACACTTTGTATTCTGTTTTCATTTGTATAAATTTTTTTTTTTTTTTTTTAAGATTAATTTTCCATTTATTGAATGTTTATCCTGTTCGGCCCGCAACCTTACAAGGGAGTTGAGTTTTGGCCCGCCGTGCGATTGAGTTTGACACGACTGTTTTATAGTAGTCAAGGTAAACGTACACAAAACCAAAACATTTTTTTTCTTTAATGAACATCCTTTGTCCGAGTTTCCGTTTTTGCCCTTTTCCCCCCAATTCCCTTTTTATTTTTTGGAGTAGCGCCCACGGCATGTGCCTTATCACACGGTTCGCATCTGCTATTGAGGCGATATAGCTTCTCCCCCCCCCCCCCCCCTTTTTTTTCCCCCCAATGTTTTGTACACATTTTCCATTTTTATTTCTAGATCTAGTTGCCTGTCAAAGCCTGTCAAAGCCTGTCAAAGTTGGACAATAACGTTACAACACGCAGAATGACGGGCCTTGTCAGCTGTGCTCTGGGTTCTTTTCAATAGTGTTTATATTTTTTTTTTTATTGATGAGGCCTTTCAAGTGTCGGAAGCTGAGCCAATTTCCTAGAGTACAGGCATTGGTTGTTGCCATGACTTAAACGGTTTGAATTAAAAACAGGTTCATCTCTATGATTAGGTTGCATCCAGGAAAGTGGCTCATATAAGGGTTAGGAGAGGTTAAGGTTAGGAGAGGTTAAGTTTAGGAGAGGTTAAGGTTAGGAGAGGTTAAGTTTAGGAGAGGTTAAGGTTAGGAGAGGTTAAGGTTAGGAGAGGTTAGCGGTTTTTTTAGGAGATGTTTGGCATAGTTCTTTTTTATGTATAAGAACTAACCCGTCCTATTGATTTATCGCCTGCTTTTCTTATCATTGTAATAAACCGAAACTGCCCTCTGTATTGGTCCTCTGCTACTCACTGTGTTGGACCTCTGAGTCCCCTTTTTGTAGCTTGACCTACCCCTCACTTGTACCTCAGTCCATGCTATTTTAACCATTTGCCCCCTCTCTTGGACCTCTACCCCCCTCTGTTCGACCTCTGCCCCCTCGTATCTGACAACTGCCCCCTTTGTTTTACCTCTGCCCCCGAGGCGTTATTTCAGTTTTTTCGGGGGTGGGGGGGGGGCAAAACCAAAACTTAATCGGCTTGTTTAAGTTGTTTATAACTGGAGGTGCCACAGTATATAGCAATTTAAATAAAACGTTCAAATTCGTGGGGGGGGGGAGGGGCAAATGCCCCACTTTGCCCTACCCAAATGACGTCCCTGCTCTGCCCCCTCTTATCGGACCTCTGCCCCTCTCTGCACCCCACCGAACTGGAGCTTTTGTCCCCAAAACTGACTTCTAACTCACCTCCTCTATTTTTTTCTATAGAATAGTTCCCCACTGGACTTGATGTCTTCTAATTGGTCTCTTCCTTTGATCACTCTTCTTCTTCTATATCTTAAGGGCCCACGATCAATTCATTGATCATTTTGGCTCCTATGCATGTAGAGGGGACTTGCAATGTTTCTGTGCCTGGTGCTGATGAGGATATTTCAATGATTACAAGTGCTACTTTGTGAAGGAATCGTGCAATTGTGTGCTAATCACACCTTGTGTGCCTGGTCAGCTGACCGACAGTTTAAAAATACAACTGATCAACTGGCAAGTTAGTGCGTTACGTTTGATCAAAAGAAAAACAACAATAATTCTTAAGTTGGTTGTTAAAATGTTCAAGTGCTTTTGTCTCAACGCAGTCTTTGATTTGAAGTGCAAAACAATCGGAAGATCATTTTCATTTTTGTTCCATGTGGAACTAATGATCAGACGTGTTTAATAGACGGTAGCAGACGGGTCTTCAACCCTCTATGAACAGAAGGAAAAAAAAAATTAATTAATCGATGAAAGAAAAATATAACACTGAATTGATTTATTCTTAGCTTGGACTTGAATCACTGTGGTGCACAGGGGATTATCCCTAAGAGGCACACACACACAAAAATTGTGCACAATACGATACGTGGCTACATTCAATACGTACCAGGCTACTTGTGAAAACAGTAATGAAAAAAAAAATTACAACTTCCATTCAATTCTATTCAGCTGCTGTCTAAAAATAGATCAACTTCCATAAATAGAAAGGTGAATTTTTGTTGTATTTTGAGACAACTTTTTGTTAACCGGTCCCTGAACTAAAACGAAGGTTTGTCAACATTTCAATGAATGCAACAGACCCCATAGAAATCCACCCCGCGAAACTAGCAACCACCGCCGTGCTATGGTGACCCACCAAGGGAAATTGGGACAAATCTACCGGATCACTTGAAGTCGATACCACGACCACGAATTCGCACCGCGCAACCCTGTATGTTGTTTTTTCCCTATCGAATACTGAGACAGGCGTGCATAAGTGTTGCAATTTTTAGGTGATGTGTTTTTCGGTTTCATTTCCAAATGTTACAATCGTGTTACAGACAAAAGCGAGAAGATTGTAAATCTGTTTGGGAGATTTGATACGACATTCAGGAGCAATCTCTCGTACTTTTTAAAACGTGCCTTGGATTGGGAGAAATTATTTCCTCAGCATAAAGTGCTGTTCACGAATTAATACCAGATGGTGTTCTTAAAGGTATAATCGTATAATTCGCCAAGAAAGTGGAATTCAGGTTTCATGGTAATTTCCTTTTTTCCCATTATTACTTTTAAAACACAGATTCCGTTTCACCGAAATTCATTTGCCCCTCTCCCCCACTTATTTATTTCTATTTCTGGCCTAACCATTGCTAAGTCCTTTAAGAACAGTTTATTGTCATTGTCATGTGTTAATACTGCAATTTTGTTTCAAGGATAAGACAATGAGATTTATGTTATGCTTGAAAGAACAATGATATTTAACTAATGTTTACTGTCTGGGATTTGTTTAGATTTCATCAAGATTTAATAAGGACTTGGATTACTGATTTGGAGAAGTCGCAGTTGTTTGAGAATACGGCCTGCATATGTAATTGATCAACGCTATTGTGCAAGTTATATTAACAATGTCAAGTGATTGCTGCAGTGATCTCAAGGGCGTACTTCAGCGTTATAGTCAGTATTGAACGGCCTCAAATTTGAAGTATTAGATTTCCCCTCATGCTACATTCTGTCGCAGTGGTTCTCAAAATTGTCGAATTCCCAGGGGTGGGGACTAAACTTCTTGGTAGATTTATGTTGAGAGAGGAGGGGGGAGGACTGTGGATTCCATGATGAGGAATGGTTGGGAAATACAGGTTTTTAAATAATAAACACTTGAGGAAAGAAAGTTATGTATCAGATTTGACACTAATGCCTAAATCAATTAATTTTGCTGAAATCGATTTATCAATACGACCAGATTGCGTGATATACCTGCATTGTCTGGGACGCTAGTATCGCATTCATCGTTTGGATGCTTCTGGAAAGGCAAGAAATAAAATCCATCAAATTATATTTTTGATAAAACCTGGTCAGAGAGCGTAAGAACTAACTGGTTATTACAAACTTAAATATTTATTCCTAAAAGACGTTCAATTTTGTTTTGTTTTTTTTTAGTTTAACCTTTTGTTTATACAAAGCTTGTAATAAAGTTATATAGTTTTTTCTTCAGTTTTGCTCGAAATTTTCTTATTGAAAAAAATAAATTGTCGAATATTGTCATTTTAAATTCTTTCTCTTCTTTTTTAAGAAGCCATCTTTCTGCTTTATAATGTGTTCACATTCATTTGATACCTTAACATTTTATTTTTAATTTTTGCCACACGCTCTATTTTCATATATCTATATCTTCCTTATGTCTATATTTCAATGGGTGAGCGATTGTATTAGTATATATATGCATATAGATAGATAGATAAATATATTTCCCTTCCTTATATATATGTTGCGGATTTATTCCGTTCACCACGGTTCTACTACTACGGTAAGACCCCGTCAGTTTTTGCGTAGAAATCCCTATCATTGGAGCACGTACTCTCTGACCTAACCATGTATAAGATATTCATAATCGGAGTTGAGGGAGCAATTCTCAAGAAGTCCTTTAGTTGAGTCGGGCTCTACTCAGCATGTCCGTCCCAAAAAAAGGATGTCGATTAACAGGCGTTTTCCACAAACCAATTGAAACGTTACCCGGGGCACAGTATCACCGTGTAGGGGACCCGCGCTGTAAGGCAAAGGTAACGCACGGAGACTGTGTTAGAAAGAGCACGGCTGCATGGCTCCTGCCAAGTACAGTCGGAAATAACGCAGAAACATGGCGGACATGATTACAGTTGCCGAGATGGATATGAGGTGAGGGAGCGTGGCGACCCTTGCCGATGATTCTAAATATGCAGTTTTTGAGGGTACTGCTCCTAGGCAACCTCTTTCTTTCCCAGCTGTGGTGTGAGTTAGTCACATCACAGAAAACCACGTAAACCCTATTAGAGGGCGTCTCTTAAACATCTACGCGTCCACCCACCCCCCAGGTTGGGAAGGGAGGACATAGAGACGTAAAATATAACCACCCTAGTCCCTAGAAAGTCCGACCCGGTTGCTGTGTAAACAGCACCCCTGCCGGGCAGGTGTTCCTTCTCTGATGCCGCCTCACTCGCATAGTCAATCGAGTGGAAGGGTGGGTGTGGCTGTCTCAGGGGCGGAATGCCTCCTGCGTGCCGCTTCGCGGCCCGACTGGAATAAAGACCACTAGGGGAGTTGTTGAAGGCCGGTTGGTTTAGCTGGTTAGGGTCCTGGGGAAGACTTTATGAGCTCTGGCTGGATAGTTTGCTGATTTTCTTAAATATAGTTATTTCAGCCGTTAGAGTTCTACTGAGTGATTGGGGTCTCTAATCCTGAAAATAACGTGAGGGATTCAAGTAGACTGTAAGCCAGTACAAAAAGTAATAGTTATTACTACTTGATTGGGAAAATGGACTCAGTTCAGGAGCTAGAAGTGATTAGTGAGTCTAAGACATTCATGCCATTGGCTTGAGATCCACTGAGCAGTACAATCTGGGGATTTTAGTCGTCAGTTAAACGCGCATGTGCCTAAATCTGGTGACAAGGTCTTGATCTTTTAACTATCGATGTGATTGACACTGCACATAAGGGTACGACCTAACAGATCTATAAAAGCCGGTCGTCACCTCGTGGACTAGAAGGCCTTGACAGTTTGGTAATTAAATTTTGTTATCTAGGCACAGCCTCAAACATCGCAATTCGTAAGGATCGCTCGGGATCAGCTCTATGAGTTACCTCATGATCTAGTCGGTATGTCAAACGCAGTGTTCAGGATCAGCTCTATGAGTTACCTCGTGATCTAGTTGGTATGTCAAACGCAGTGTTCAGGATCAGCTCTATGAGTTACCTCGTGATCTAGTCGGTATGTCAAACGCAGTGTTCAGGATCAGCTCTATGAGTTACCTCGTGATCTAGTCGGTATGTCAAACGCAGTGTTCAGGATCAGCTCTATGAGTTACCTCGTGATCTAGTCGGTATGTCAAACGCAGTGTTCAGGATCAGCTCTATGAGTTACCTCATGATCTAGTCGGTATGTCAAACGCAGTGTTCAGGATCAGCTCTATGAGTTACCTCGTGATCTAGTCGGTATGTCAAACGCAGTGTTCAGGATCAGCTCTATGAGTTACCTCATGATCTAGTCGGTATGTCAAACGCAGTGTTCAGGATCAGCTCTATGAGTTACCTCGTGATCTAGTCGGTATGTCAAACGCAGTGTTCAGGATCAGCTCTATGAGTTACCTCATGATCTAGTCGGTATGTCAAACGCAGTGTTCAGGATCAGCTCTATGAGTTACCTCGTGATCTAGTCGGTATGTCAAACGCAGTGTTCAGGATCAGCTCTATGAGTTACCTCGTGATCTAGTTGGTATGTCATACGCCGTGTTCTAGTCGGTATGCAATACGCAATGATCTAGTTTTTTTAAAGTCTAAATGGACTAATAGCGGCTATGCGTACCCGGGTCTCGGCACAGCTTCCTTGTAGGCCCAGTATTCCTCAATCTTCCTAATGCCGCGACCATTTAATACAGTTCCTCATGTTATGGCGAGGAAAAAAATTAGCATAAAATAAGCTAAATATACACTTTGATAGATTGACCATGATAGCATAAAATACACTGATAGATTGATCATACTAGCACAACATAATGTTACGTACTTTTATCCCTATGGAGAAATAAATCTGTTATTTAAGTATATGGCTCGTTCTACAACAGTACACCACAAAGGATGATACCATAAACTAAAAGCAAAGCATACGATACTCAAAACAGACATAATTAATAATTTTTAAAAAAATGTGAATTATAAATTACCAAATCACAAGAAATAAATTTAAAGCTATTGACTTACAGCATAATGATTGGTTTGTACCGGTACAGTGTCTTAGAAGATACAATATTGTAAAAATGTACAATGATGAAAAGGAATCAAAGTAAATAAATCTCTGTCTCGTATAGCACACGCTCAGAATAACTCTCGTCTCTGACTCTGACTCCTGTCGCTCGATCTCTCTGCTTTATATAGTCTGTTTCATAGGTCCTTCTAGAAGTGATACGCATTGTAATCGTTTCCCAAACCATATGCATAATTCTACAAAATTCTAAGAACAAAAAGACCATAGATTGTAGTTTATTGTAACCGAGGTCAAAGGGAGACTATAATTAATCAGCCACACCTTAATACTAGATGAATGAAGGTAAACTGGGCCCATAACAATACACTGACAGATTGACCATACTACCATAACACACACTTTGATAACTTGACCATACTACCATAACACACACTTTGATAACTTGACCATACTACCATAACACACACTTTGATAGAATTACCATACTAACATAACATACACTTTGATAACTTGACCATACTACCATAACACACACTTTGATAACTTGACCATACTAGCTTAACATACACTTTGATAGAATTACCATACTAACATAACATACACTTTGATAACTTGACCGTACTAGCATAACATACACTTTAATAGATTGACCATATTACCATAACATACACTTGATAACTTGACCATACTAGCATAACATACACTTTGATAGAATTACCATACTAACATAACATACACTTTGATAAATTGACCATACTAGCATAACATACACTTTAATAGATTGACCATATTACCATAACATACACTTTGATAGATTGACCATACTAACATACTAACATAGCCTACACTTTGATAGATTGACCATTCTACCATAAAATACACTTTGATAGATTGACCATTGTAGCATGGCATACACTGAGTAGCCATTCATATTTCACACTTGTTTGGCAACTTGCCGTAGATTAATATGGTCTTATAAGAATATTTTCACTTCTTTATTGTTTTTTTTTCTCATTTCCCTTAAACCTTCTATTCTTAATGTCATCTCATTGCAACATTCAAGGTCTGATTTTTATTACACCTGAAAGTCATAAAAATAAATATAAGATTCATAAAAGAGAAATGACAAAAGTACAGCTAGCTAAAAATTAAAAAAACAAAACAACAGATGATAACAGTAAAGGCCAACTTGGTTATGAGCCCCTTGCCTATGTGAAGAACATGTGATTTTATTGTTTGGCACCCTCCTGATGTTGGCAACCAGGGCGAGTGCCAACTGCAGCCCAGAGGCGTAGTGAGAGGGGCAGGAAGGACAGATGTCCCCGGGCGCAAGCTAGTTAGGGGCGCCAAAATGTGCTTTGATATTAAATTATTGATAAAAATAATGGGTTTGAGAGTTGAAAAAAAGAAAAGGGGGCACTTTAAAATGGATCTTGTCCCCGGGCGCGAATCTTGTTACCGGGTGCCAAACACCCTCGCTACGACTCTGCTGCAGCCCCCTCCCACTTTTCACATGGCCTTTATTTAACAGATACACCTTTAATTCACTTGGTTTTGGAAATTAGACATTATTTAAAAAACCGGTATATAGATATTCATTTAATTTTTTAAAGAGATAAAACTTTTTTTTTATTTAACCACTCCCCCCCCCAACCACCCCCTTAAAAATCTTTCACTTTGCATTACAGAAACTCTAGTAACTGTCAAGCTCCGATGCAAAATAATTCAATTTATTAACAGATTAAGTAAAGGTTTTTAAAAAGTAAGACATGTGGGGCCCCTGGTTGAGTGTTGTCCACTGGGCTCTGAGTTTCCCGCAAAGCTCTATCTTCTATATAAGGCCCTAATTTACTTGGTTCCAATAACAGATTGAATTGATTTGTTTAACCACGGAACCGTTTACACAATCTGATACCCGAGGCTTAAAAGAAAGAAACATTTTTTTTTTTTGCGGTCAACAAAAAAGTTAATTGCTGGTTATTCCAAAGTGGGGCCATAAATATTACAGGGACACATCCCGAGGGGGCCATCAGACGTGTTGCTTTAAAACGTTGACCGTCTTCGAGGATAGCCAGGATATCAGTGCATCTGTTTGTACCGTGTGCCGGTGTAGGGTATGCTGTGTCTGCTTGTACCGTGTGCAGGAGCAGGGTATGATTTGTCTTCTTGTACCGTGTACTCGAGCAAGGTACGCTGTGTCTGCTTGTACCGTGTACACGAGTAGGGTATGATGCGTCTATTGTACAGTGTGCACGTTTAGGGTAATCCTGGCTTGTACAGTGTGCAGTAGTAGGGTAATGCTGTGTCTGCTTGCATCCCGTGCACGAGTAGGGCATGCTGTGTCTGCTTGTACAGTGTGCGGTAGTAGGGTAATGCTGTGTCTGCTTGTACAGTGTGCAGTAGTAGGGTAATGCTGTGTCTTCTTGTACAGTGTACAGTAGTAGGGTAATGATGTGTCTGCTTGTACAGTGTGCAGTAGTAGGGTAATGCTGTGTCTGCTTGCATCCCGTGCACGAGTAGGGCATGCTGTGGCGCCATTTCTGTTGTTAGCCTACTGCGGTTAACTCCAGTGGCTCTTCAGTTTCCAAACGCTTAGCTCTGGTTGTTATTCAGTTTTCAGAGCGTAACTCTGTTGATTAATATGTTTCAAACTTATAGCTGTATAATTTGTGGTCCTCATCCAGAGCGTCGTGTGCCCTTTTGAGGCCTATTGTCACTTTTTGGGGTTGACCCTGAAATTAGAAGTTGGAAGTTCATTTTTTCTCCTCATCGCAACTTTGGGGTCCTTAAATATCCCCAGGGGTTGCAGACCCCACGCGACGGCTTTAATCAAATTGACGGTTTAAAAGTGTGGCAAAACTTCTAATAACACTTTATCATGAATAAAAGTTTTTTTTTTTTTTAAACATGTCATTAGTGTAGGGGTGATGTAGGGATGGTGTAGAGGTAATGTAGATGTAGTGTAGGGGTCGGTTAGGGTGATGTAGGGATGGTGTAGGGGGAGTGTAGAGGTCAGGTAGCGTGATGTAGGGGTTGGTTAGGGGTGGTGTAAAATCTTTTAATAACACTTTTTCATGAATAAAAGTTTTTTTTTTTTTTTAAACATGTCATTAGTGTAGGGGTGATGTAGGGATGGTGTAGAGGTAATGTAGATGTAGTGTAGAGGTCGGTTAGGGTGATGTAGGGATGGTGTAGAGGTAGTGTAGAGGTCAGTTAGCGTGATGTAGGGGTTGTTTAGGGGTGGTGTAGGGGTGGTATAGAGGTGTGAAAAGTGACAGCGGGAAGGTGCATTTCAAAGGCATTGTCCAAGACAGTTCCCACCAAATCTAAATGAGCTTCTGTCAGGACGGCTGTTCTGAAAGCACGCACCGAGTGACATTTATTATAAAACTTTAGCTAATAAATGGGGCTAAAGGCGAGGTGATATGGGAAATATTTATTGAAGGTTTTATTGTAACGTACTTTTATGTTTGAAACGTTGCTCTCACACAGGGAAATTTGATTTCGAAGATTTTTTTTCTTCTTTTAAACTGGTAAGGTCTATCCTTTAGGATGTCACGTGTCCATGAAAAATGAGAAGCAGTTTTTGCCTCTAAGAAGAGTGGGCAATTTGTGTAAAACATTGCTTGGAGGTCTGAGATCTCACATCGTGGAATACCTACTGTTGTTTATATTAACGCAGGGCATTGGCCGTTATGCTCATTGTTACACCTAATTTTTGGTCTCTTCCTGTACCGCAGGTGATCTCAGGAGGTGTTTAAACCGGCAGACACGTCGGTCGTCATGGAGTGGGTAGTGACACAGCAGCTCCACTCCAAGAAAATTCTGGATAAAAAATTGAACGAGATTAACGCCAGTCAACGCCTGAGTGAGGCGAGACTGGACAGACAGTTGCGCGAACTTGGCCTTGACCTCACGAAGATCAAACGTTCTTCTGCGGACCTTGACGACATGCATGGTGGGTAATTAGTTTAAAAGGAACCAATATCTCTTTTAGGTCATCTAGTCACCCCATCAAAAAAATAAAAAAATAAAATGATGTGAAATTCAACCCTATATGGTGCACTATTCTTAACAAATAAAATCCAAAAAATCTTTCAAACACAGGTCTCAAATAGCATATAAATTAAGGTTCTAAAAATATCAAAATATTACTTTTGTAACAGTGTACCTTTGTCGATGGATAACTCAAATGTTGTCAAATGGCAACAAAAAAAAAACAAAAACAACACTTTTAAGTTTAAAAAGTTATGAGAAATGAGAAAACAAGTTTAAATGTTATAAAAACTTTTAATGAAAGTCTTAAAATATATTTAGGAAAAACAAAAAAATGTTTCATGGTATTTGAAACTTTCTGAAAAAGTTGAGATTTTTGTGTCAGACGCACATGCCCATTAAATTTGTCTCATTTTACTCTGACGTAGTCTTTACAGCTAGTCATTTCGCAACAACCTTTATGAGGTAGAGACAGAGGAAAGTGGTCGACATTGTCAGATCGAATAGAAAAAAAAATGGAACTTCAGCAGTGGAAACTCTATGTTAGAATATGTGGCTCATTTTCTATTGAGAGTCGATGTTATCAATAAATGCAATAGCAATTATGAAGAGTTTAGGGGCCTCCAGCTTGGAAAAATGTCCGATGTACAAAAGTTTGCATGAAAACGTTTGATTCAACATTTATCAATGTTTGTAGTTCTCGATATTCTCCGAAGCGGGCAACCTCCACATAATACTAAGTCTATTCTTACTCAAATCAAAAGAGAAGTGGCTTGATTTTAAAATGTCATCGGAGCTTATTGTTAGCTAGAGATTGGGGAATCCTCAGACGGCAAACCGGCCAGGCTCAGTCACTGCTCTTAAGGAATCATTATTATCTTATTTTTCCTGTATCTGATATCTAAGTTGGTCAGTGTTTCCTCTGGTTCCTGAAAATGTGTTCAAGTTGTACGTATGCACAAGGCCGGGGTTAATCTTTAGTCATATAAGACTCGTCCACATAGACCCCCTTGCTTTTTTAAAGGCCCCGCGACAAGTAATGGAATATATCCATTAAAGGCAAATTAATGTGTCTTTGTTGGGGGTTTAGGGTTGGTGATAGTTGTTTCACAAATGATGATCAAAGTCTCTCTAATAGGGGCAAAACGCAAATATACCAAATGTATATATTAAAGGCTTGCTTAATGTTGTCGCCGTTCGTTTGCTTTGTATCTGAACCAGTGACACTGTTGTCCGTTCCGTATTACCGTACTTGGTCCAATAAAAACATTAACACGGAAGCCATCAATTGTATTTGATTGAATGACACATGTTTGTATTGGACTGGGTGAGAAATGGCTTCAGGTGTGGGGTGCAGGCTGGGGGGGGGGGTGGGGATTGGTGGGCAGCGGCAATAATAACAAGGAACGGATTCTAGTCAAACATGCGTGCAGTGGCGGACCTTTAGAAAAAAAAAATAATTACAAAAAGGCAGGATGTATTACCGGAAACACTCTTATGCCAAGACATGAATTCTGCTGTATTTTTTATACACAACATACACGGCATCCATAATTAATTTGTTCATGAGTTCCAACGCTAGATAAGCAGCCAATATATTTATTTATTTATGTTTTAAAATTTATTATAAATCGGCGAAATGAATTTAAAAAATTAACAGCTTTTTTAAATGTGTATAATCCATAAACTGAGATGAATCCTTCAGGTTGAATGTATTGCCCCTAACAACCTGAACTTTTGTTACGCAGCAACCATTTCACATTTCCGTTCTATCTATTTTTTTATTATTCATATAAATTGGAAAAGATAAAGCTTTACAGAAAACGAGAGATAAAAAGAGAGAGAGAGAGAGAGAGAGAGAGAGAGAAGGGGCGGATAGAGAGAGAGAGAGAGAGAAGGGGCGGATAGAGAGAGAGAGAGAGAGAGAGAGGGGGCGGATAGAGAGAGAGAGAGAGAGAGAGAGAGAGAGAGAAGGGGCGGATAGAAAGAGAGAGAGAGAGAAGGGGGCGGATAGAACGAGAGAGAGAGAAGGGGCGGATAGAAAGAGAGAGAGAGAGAAGGGGGCGGATAGAACGAGAGAGAGAGAAGGGGGCGGATAGAAAGAGAGAGAGAGAGACTGATAGAGAGAAAGAAACGAAAAGAGAGAGAGAGAGAGAGACGGATAGAAAGAGAGACGGATGGAGAGAGAGATGGATAGAGAGACAGTGAGTGGGAGAGAGAGGAGAGTGGGATTGAGAATGAAAGAAAGATAGAGAGGGAAAGAGAGATTAACTGAGAATTGCATACACAATGCGAAAAATTAAACAAATCCTAAGCCTCAATCTTCATGAATCCCACTGCGCGGAAAGTAAACCAAATTGTGGAGTAACACCATAACTACGTCTTGTTAATCCTGGATCGTTAAATAATGATAAGGGCTTACAGCTGAACTCTGGTAAATAGTTTTGTCTCTTAGGAAGTGAGAAAGAATCAATACGGCATGTCTTTGTTTAGCATTGTTTATACATCCTCGTCTTACGTTGTTATGGAATGGGTGAATATAATTCAATTCATGCGTCGAAGAAAAAAAAAATCGAGTTTTGACTCTCGACATTTGTTAATGTTTTTGCGGTGATATGTGAAAGGAGCTTTATGGATATGACAAAAGTGAATGATGAATTTTAAACATGAAACCTTATTTTGTGTGTGTGTTTATTTGTATATATTGCATGGACAGGACTTAGTTGGGGATTAATAAAATATTAATGTTGACATATCGACAGGAAAAGTTAACTCTGGTATCTGGAAACAAACCAATCTATAATAATACTGATAGTAAATAGAAAAGGTATTGTGTCACGCTTTATTCACTTCTGTTTGCCATTGTCGTGGTGCATTATGCTGGAGAGAACAGGTGAGAAACCACCTTCAGAGAAGGCTAAATAATTATAGGCCAATTTATAAAATCAGTTTCAAACATGAGTAAAAAGTAAACAATATTTCAACTTTCTATTATAATTACATACCCTTAAGTATTTTTTTTTACACCTGAGTTCTTTTTACTCTGTCGTATATTGACAGTTAACTTTGCCTAAACCACAACATAAAATCTGCAGCAATCGTATAACAAAGTTGCTATCTTCATGAACTTTAGACATATAACAACATATAATGTAAGAAACGAACTGATGGAATTAATTCCGTTGACTCCTAGTAGACGTAGACATGTTTCGTCCATCACAACCCGGTCATTTTCCCTGTAAAAAGTAATTTAAAAATGTGAAATGTTATAAACGTTTGGTTTTCTGATACCAAATTATTTATCGATCAAAATATTCACTAATAGTAAGAGCAATTTAATTATCGATCCATATATTCACTATATAATGGTGTGTTCCTTATTGTTTCTGAGACAAAATTGACGTCTATTTTTTTTTAAATATATAATTTTTCTTTGTGTAGAGGTCAGTCCCTATCATCCCAACAATTTTCACCAATGCTTGTAAATTGTGAAAGCCTTGTGGACTATCTGTCAGTACCGTGATCCACCATTTATCTCCCTTTACGTCTTACGGATTCTCTCGTTTAATTGTGTTACATCAGGGGCCATAAATTGCACAATCTGCCGACCCACTTGGTTTGAAACTGTTGCTCTTCCCTCCAATCGAGCCCCGTTTGTTTACATAGAAATACCTGTGCGGGATCTCCATTCTGTTTCATAACATGTTAAGTTGATTGATTTGGATGGATTTAATTACATATACATTAAGTATCTTTGCCGTATATTTTAAAGACCTAAAAGGAATGGTATTACGGACTCCCATCTGGTTTGCAGCATCAACATTACTTCAAAAATAAATTTCTTCCTATCAGCTATTTTTTTAAACAAGTATCTCATTTGGAGCATTAAGTTTAACGCTATTCAAAGGTTTTACCCGTTTCGTATTTCATTTAACATACTGATATAGAATTAATATGTAATTAACGCGTGTATTCAAGCAACACACTTTCTATTTCTTGGGTACTTAACAAAAAGGCCAATGTTAAATGGTGTGCAGATTTTTTTTCCCGTTCTTTGTTAATATGAATGGAAGTTGCGAGAAGAAATTAAATAACAGTAGGTTTAGTGCGATGACATGAAAAGGGATTCTCCAAATCTGGATAACAATCAAATGTTTGGTGTTTACATAAAGATTGGTCTTGAAGAATAAATGAGTGAGAATTAAATTCCATGTTGTTTTTTTCCTTAATTGAAATCATTTGTCAATTAATTGGCTGAACTTTTAGGCTACTGGAGGGTGTAAAAAAATAAATGATCACTCAAATTGGTTTGATTTTCGTTTGATCCATTCTGTCTGGATAAAGTAGACACGATGCTTGCGTAACGCCAAAAGTGGCTACTTTAAAGAGAAAAAAACAACCTTTCATTCTCCTTGACTTTACTCTCCAATTAAATAGTAATTAATAATGCATCACTGGTTTGAATGAACCTAGGGAGTTGAAGGGTGACGTAGAACCTTACATGTAGCAAGAACCCTTTATCTCTTGTCTGTTGAGTTAGAGTGAACCCCGTCCATTCTTTGTTGCACATAGTTGTACTATTAGTACCGTCACACGGATAGTTGTACTATTAGTACAGTCACACACATAGTTGTACTACTAATACAGTCACACAATAAGTTTGATTATTGTACAGCTACTCATAGTTAGTGGCGCAGGAAGGGGGTGGCACTTTTTTCTTTATATCTAGGGGTGGTACTTTCGACCAACTGCATAATTTGTTTTGTGGAAGATCGCAGCAAAAAGTCTTTGCCCACAACGGTGACACTAACCTTAACTACGTCACTTCTCGCAGTGTCATAAATAGACTTGCATTCCGCCCCTCGCGTGACTCCATGTGAACTGAGCTACAGGCTGAGAGTTTCGTTTGAGAATCCTTTTTTTTTAATTATTTAAACATTTCTCGATTCGGTCTTGTTACTCATAGACGCCCCGCTCCCATACAGGGGCACCCCCTTCACATCTATAGCCTAATGACCCCCATTCTTTTGCAGGAAGGAGTACCTTGAAGGGCCGTATTTCTGAAATAAGTACGTTTCAGTCCAGGAATAATGACGATACCTAAATCCATTCTCATTGCGGCACGCCCAAATTGTCAGTATCTGTGATGGCAACAATCCCTATCTGAAGCTTCGCGCCAACCATTTCAGCGCCCGCAGTTAACTATTTTGAGGTCCGCAAAAAGAGCCAGTGGTGGGTTACGATTGAGGATCACTGATGTTTTACTAAATTCTACACGTTGTACTGTTATCTCCGTCCCTATTAAACTGGATTGTAAACATGTTTGTCATGACTCGTTTGGGCGTGGTATCGATCGTCATAAGCTAATCTACCGAACCCGGAAAATCAAAATAGCATCGATCTGTCTGGAGCCGAGAAGTGCATAGGTTGCGGTGCGATTCGGTCTTTGAGTTGAATACCTTCCTTCTAATCCTTGTTTATAGACCCTTAAACCCCACCTCCACCCCACCCCACCCCGGGTACCCTGAAAATAACTATAACAAACTTCTCTACCAGGATTAGATTCTTTTTCGAAAAATATATTTTATATTTTATAAATTTAATAACAATTTTTAAAAAATCCTATATTTAACCATCCTGCCATTTTTGTACTTTTTCTTCTAAGTCTCCTTTATTCTTGTTTCTTTTTTTTTTTTTTTTTTTTTTGTTTTTTATTTTTTTTTTTTTTGGGCCTTTTTTTTTTTTTGTTTTTTTTTTTTTTTTTTTTTGCGTTGCATTGAACTTTATTTATAGGTGGGCCTTTTCTTGTATTTTGTAACCCTTCCAAATATGTCGCCTGTTATTATTTGTACCCTGGACTTATACATGAGACACATACATTTCTGTATAATTTTTTTTTTTCAAGCCGTTAGTACTTTTTACAAACGACAACATGCCTTATAAATCCAATGAACTGTTAAGACAGGAGGAACGGGATTCCCCCAAAGTTGTTTTTTAAAAACATTTGCAAATAATTTTTTTTTTTTTTTTATTTTTTTTGCTTTGCATTGAACTTTATTTATAGGTGGGCCTTTTCTTGTATTTTGTAACCCTTCCAAATATGTCGCCTGTTATTATTTGTTCTTTTTTTTTATACATGAGACACATACATTTCTGTATAATTTTTTTTTTTCAAGCCGTTAGTACTTTTAACAAACGACAACATGCCTTATAAATCCAATGAACTGTTAAGACAGGAGGAACGGGATTCCCCCAAAGTTGTTTTTTAAAAACATTTGCAAATAATAATAATAATGTACTTTGTTTACTTTCAGATTTGACCCCACGACCTTCAGGGCGGCGAGGGTCGCTACCGCAGCTCGCTGGAGATAACACCACACTGAAATCTCTCGGCGCGCCCCATTCTCCCAGAAGTCGGCGGCGCCTCAGCATTTCGTCCATCCCCTCCACCCCGCGCGACGGGCACCACGCGAGCAACAGCCTCAACGTCACAGAGCATCAGAGGGCCACCAGAAGGAGAAGCATACCCAATCTCTCCACCTCCCCGGGCGACCACACGCAATCAATCAAGAGCGATAGAAACAACGATGGCTGTCTCGGTGCTGGGAAAAATAAAACGATCCGTGAACAAAATGAACTGACCAGTGGTGTCGGCACGAACAAACAGACTCTTCCGAAAATTGAAGTTACCAAAGAGGCAGATAGCTCTCCGGTTAGAAGAAAGAGTGCCACGGCCAAATTCGTCCATAAGGAAGACGGCGGAGTCGATGTCAACGATGAGATTTCAGAGGCGGAGAGTCGTCATTTGATGGGGGCAGCGAAGGGGAGAAGAACCCGACGATCGTCCGAGCCCGCGATCGGTGTGCAGTTCCTTCATCCCGGGCAAGTGAACGGATGTGAAGCGCGGATGCACAACAGCGGGGACAAGGGAGAGTTCAGGCAGGCGATACACCATCTGCCGTCAAACATGGTGGCCGAGGAGGACGAGGAAGCGGGCGACCACGGGGGCAACTGCTCGGACGAAACAATCAAAGCTCAGCGAGCGGATACGGAGGCCGTTCCGAAGGCTGCTCTGAACGCTGGGAAGACGATGAAGAAGAAAACAAGCACTGCTAAGGGAAAAGACGAGTCGAGTCCCAAGGCTGGAAACACCAGGACCGTGGGATCCCCGGGTCAAGGTTACTCGCGACAGAGGCGAAAATCAGAGGGCGATATTCTGAGGTTTGCCCAGATCTGGACGCGGCAACAGGAAGATTTGAGAAATGGTCGGGTCAAAGGTCAAGGGGCGAAACACGGGTACAGTCTGGGGGTCAGAGATAGCAGCGACGACGTCTGGGATTCCGTGAGGAAATGCAGGTACATCCGGGGTTATGACCCACCGGAAATGATAGAACCACCAGACCCCAACGAATATGTGTTTGGGCATAAATAATCTTATCGTGAGACGTAAGTCCGACGCATACTTGGAACATGATGAAAACAGAGGCATTGCAGATGATTTTTTTTTTTTTGTATCTAGCACCTGTTGGCAAAGTAAAATGTTTTGAATTATCAATCTTTCGGCGTCTTTAAATGTCTTAGAGTACTCTGTTGGGTGTTGAGCCCAAGAAGGCCCAGAGCCTACTCCGTGATAACATTTTGTAATGACCAATCAAAGACACGCCCATTTCTATACATGCATGACTGGATGAGTCCTTAACTGGCAACTTAGTCTCTTACGAAATGAAATATTGGTTGTAAATACATTAGTTCCATATATTGAAGGTTTTTTTTTAAGTGTCGGACAAAGATTTTTTTTTTTTTTTTTTTTTGGGGGGGGGGGGGGGGGAAATTTCTGATACAACGATATAAAGAGAGTTCTGACCAGGGTGATGTACTCACAGGTCATCGTGACATATCTCAAAGTGGACGCCACGATGCTGGGGCAATCAAAACAAAAGCTAGTTCCGTGTGCAAAGCAAATACTGTTGCTTTGGGGAAAGAACTTTCTAACACAACTAATTATTCTACTTCACTAGAGTGTCGCGTAACTTTTGGAGCCTTTTTCTTCTTCTCGGCGTGTATACTTTTGTTTCCACGTCACAAATTTGAGCCCTTTAAAAATTTGGAGGCCCCCTCCCCCCAAAAAAAAAAATCCCCCACGCGACGGCTCTGACTTAACTTACCGTACACGAAAATCCTCGTATTTCACGAAACAGATATTGTGATCTTTTTTGTTAAATTGCTCACATAATATTTACTTAGTTATAAATTCCCTTGTTACAAATCTGTGGTAAACATGATAATTAATATACATATCTACTTGTAATTGTAAGCTGAATAGTTGAGTTACACAAATTTTTAATTTTTTATAGGCATGAAGATGTTACTCCTCAAAGAGGAATAAATTATACTTAATACATCATTAAAGTTGAACTTTTTTTTTTTAAGACAATTTTTACATTTGAGTATGATTTTATGACCTTTGACTCTAAATAGAGACATGGCCGTTTGGGGGCGGGGGGGGGGAGAAAGCAACACTTTAAAAGATTTGATTTTTAAATAAAGTACAATCACAACACATTACAGTACCAACAAATATGAATAACGTTACAATCCGAACAAATTTGAAGAACATTACAGTACCAAAAAATTTGAAGACTTAACAGTGTATTATTCACTTTATTTTTATAGAGAGAATTTGTATAGATTTTTTAATTTATTTTAAACAGTTACAAAGACATATGTGCAAATACATTCGTGAAACGCCTTACATTATCAATACTACACACCAACAATAGACCCCTACAATAGTCACACAAGACAGGGTTTCCCAACCTTTTCTATATTCTAAAATTTAAAAATAAAATTTTCACCATTTATTATCACTTTTCCCTCCACCCTCTAAAATGCTACTTGCCCATTGCCACACTCCAGGTGGTGGTTTGGGTGGGGGGGGGGGGAGGGTTTGGAGCCTCCAAATTTGGGAACCCCCGATTTTATATTTTTCCGTGGGGTACATCACTGAACTCGAGACACAGACGAGCTGATCCCATAGATTACAGACTCGGCATCACAGAGGAGCTCTGGTGATATTGGGGGAAACAGAACTACACAAATGATCTTACATTTATACTACCCCCCACCACAGCACACGCGGTAGAAACCCAAAAAGAATAGTTCTAAGTTCTAATGAAAGAAACTCAACCACAGCCCAGTGCGGCTGCAGGTGATGCTGGGGCGAATCAAGATAATGGCTTGAGAGATGGCATAGGCAAATTAATAAGAACTATTTTTTTAGGAATGGAAGACAGTTCACAATGTTTTAAATAGAAAAAGCCAGACATTCAGTTAGCAAAATAAATTGTCACTAGTATGAGCTTAGGTGGCCCTATGACCAGGTGTTTTCTTATAAAGTGATTTTTTCATCTTCAGATTTTTTAAATTTGAAACACAAAAAAAATCTATTAAAAAATAAAATGGGCAGAAATTCGAACAAACACAGTGCGGTAGCCGATAATTCACACCTCCATTTTGCTGTTACTGTTATGAAGAATACAAACGGGTACAATTAAAAACTTTTGCATGACACCCGACAGGGGAAAGAAGAACACGCACAGCTTCTTCCGCTGCTTGTACTTGCACACCTTAACACAGCACTTGGCAACCTGCGGCTCTTTGAATTTAATTTAAATGTATAAATTCGGGTTCGTTTTCAATTTAATGAGTATTACATTCTCTTACTTTGAAGAGTGAATAAATCACTTAACTGTATGTTTTAACGTAGTTTCTACATTGAAGTATCCTAAGTAAAATATTACTTCTTGTGTCCTGTCACATTCACTCTCTCATTCCGTCCTTAATAAAAGTGAATGGTTTCTTGGGAGATACAATTTTGTGAAACGGTTGCCGACCTCTTGCTTCACATCACTCATACTCAAAACTCTACTCTTTCTATATGTTAACATTAAGTTAGGATTCTCGGTAGCACAGTTTGGATGTTTTAACACCCTTTCCCAGAAGGTTATAATAGTGCAAAAACCTCTGTACAAGAATGTTAACATTTGAAAGAATCTATGGTGTTTTATAATCATGGTTGAAACTAGCAGTCACCGTCATATGGGACTTGATTAGCTAAATGAAGACTTCATAAGATTATCCTAACCAAAGGAATAAGGATAAGTTCTTTCGAAGCTGCAGTGTGACAATGATAGGAATTAAGCAGGACAAGTTCTGTCACAGCTACAGTGTGACAATGATAGGAATTAGACAGACTCAGTTCTATTACAGCGTGTGACAATGATAGGAATTAGATAGGAATTAGGCAGGATAAGTGCTGTCACAGCTACAGTGTGACAAGGATTCCATTACATCACATCCAACTCCCCGTGAAACATTCAAACAAAGCGATGGAACCAATTCAAACAGAGGAACAGTAAAATATTCTTTAATGTACATACAAAATGTGTGGGTAGTTCTAACCTAAGGCTGCACATATAAAGGCTATGTCTATGTACACACCTGATTAATGCAAACATACAGCTTATACTCCAGATACAGTGTAGGGACAGGCACAAGAAGAAATCTGTAGAGTATATTTATGCATTCATCCATGTGAATAGTTTGACATCCAGGGCGCTCATCGTCACACTGGGAGACATGCTTCTCTCACTTTCAACTATGCAAGGTAACGGAGACTATCAGATAGCTGCAATATCCCACCCACATTACAGAGCATAAGACGTATTTCAAATGACACAATTGCTATTTTAAGTTTTATGATTAAGAGCCATAGTACAATACTAACCGATAGTACAACACTAACCGTTATCTCATGTTAATTATTCACTAGTTTGATATCTTTGGCCCCGCAGGCTAACTCTAGAAAGTAGAAAGTTGTAACATATAAAATTACTTTTCTTGCCAGCAAGCACATCAAATCTGATCACTGCCTCGATGTTATCGATGAGAGAAATAAGGAGCAGGAACGAAAGATTCGCACGGTGGATGCTAGTGTTATAAAAAGTAAAACACCCAGAAAGTTTTAAAATATCAGTAACACACCGATTTAAAGGGTACAACATACATTGTTCATAAATAAAACTAACACAAACAATAAACCAATGTGACAGAACAAAATTGTTCAAAAACCTTGTTAGAGACCGACGGTCAGTGCTACCTAGATGAAAACATAATCTCAGAGGGCCAAGCTGTGTCAAAACTAAACTTGTTAATATCAAGATGGAGGGTTGGGTTAGTAAAGGTGCTTACATTGATAACATTAAATCTTCTGGTTAGTCCTGGTAACATACATCCAAGGGACATTTCTACATCCAATTATACCTAACCATTAGTTAAGGTTAATAAGAAAAATAAAAATAAAAGCACAAATGAGTAATTAAATCAAACAATGAAACATAGAGCTATTGTCTTGAACCTAATTCAGTGCAACTAAATTAAAAACATCTATTCATAAACAAAACAAAAAAAAAAAAAATTGTTCAAATATTGCTTTAAATTCACTAACCATCAAAATCTGCAATACTTAAAAAAATAATGTTTAAAGAAATCAACGGAATCAAAGACCATGAATTCATGTGGCCCTCATTAAAAATTACAAATAAAAATCAATTGTAAAATGAAGAGTCAATGAGTCTAAAAACAAGGCAAATTTTGTAATCATCAATTTTTTATATGATGTTATCAAGTTCATTCAAGTCAATCAGATATTAAGAAGGCATGGCACACAACTTTTTTTTGCTGAGCATGGAAACACAATAACAGATCTTATTATTAGCGTAAATGTCAATGGCTTGGGTGTTAGTTTAAACAACCTTTAAACAAACCTGTCATTTAAATGATTGATTTGACTTGATCACTGACAGAGGAGCTTTGGTTTTTTTTTAAAAAAAAAAAAAAGAAGCTTGCATGTACGAAAGAATGAAAGTTATATAGAAAAGCTTGCATGTACGAAAGAATGAAAGTTATATAGCATTCTCACCAATGGATTATGAAAGTTATATAGCATTCTCATCAATGGATTATGAAAGTTATATAGCATTATCAATGGATTATGAAAGTTATATAGCATTCTCACCAATGGATTATGAAAGTTATATAGCATTCTCATCAATGGATCATGCCTCGATACAAAACTTGTAAACCAAATATATTTTGTTAAAAAAAATAGTTTGATTGGATGGGCACACGTATAATACCAAAAGAAGTCAAGTACAGTGAATAGTAAAAAATTTAGTATTGAAAGGGCTGGCTTGTATAAAAGATTATTTGTCTTGCTGTAAAGATTCAAAAACAAAATTTTTGAAATTAAAATTCTAATATAACCGTTCAGTTCCATCCACTTTTACTTCGCTGAGAATTCGCGGGCATGTCAGAAGCCATCTTAAGAATTTTCTTATATTAATTTTATTTGAACAACATTATGCATAGACTGGAATTATTTTAATAAATGTGCCAAGTTTCTAAACAAAAGTCCTTGAATTATTAAATTTTATTTTTCAGATATTTCCTTAACAGTAAAATATATTTCTCTTAAAAAAAAAAAAAAAAAAAAATTTTTAATAAATAAAAAAAAATAAAAATTTCTTTAAAAGTATTAGTCATGAAGAGTCGTTATCTATGTCCATAGAGTCTCATCTTGCATTCATCAGTACCCTCACATTCAGCAGTGAAGAGCACAGTTGAGTAAACAAAGCAAAAAATATTAGCTCACACAGGAGATCTTTTCAATTCATCAAACCATCTTGACAGAAGGAGCCCATTCCAGCCAACCACAATCTGTTTTTATCCGAGTTCACCTTCAATATTACATTCACTGTAGTCATCCATTCACCCGTCAACCATATATATATACACATTACAACCGTATCCAAGGCTACCATCCATGCTACTTGCTCTTAAATCATCAATCAGTTAAAGAGATCAATCCATACTTAAATTACAGTTCATAAACTCAGTTACATTAGTTGTTAAAAATATTATGACAGCACTCGTCAAACACACCACTGTGCCATTCGGGTACAGTTTCTCCCTGCTTATCACCTTACGTCTCTTTCTCAGACAGCGGCCAGTGTTAAAAAATATCAGCTCCCTATTCATGAGATCTCTAAAAACATTCTCTCAATTGGGGGGTCGAGGATGACAATCAACTGTTAATTGATGGAAATATAGTCCAATCATGTACTATGGGACAAAATTAGCTATACCACACACACTATTTATACAAGACACTAGGGAGACAGCTGTTATTGTTTTGCTGGTGTTGATGGTCTAAACTTAGGAAGCATCAGGCCAAACTTGGACTCGATGCCATCAAATGTTGCTATGGCCATGCGGTAGCCACCTATATGGTCTGGATTACGCGAGAGGACCTCCTCAAGGTGGACAGACTTTGCTTCAGATCCTTCAGGTCGGCTGTGGGACAAAAAAAAAGGATTGATTAGCTGGACGCTAATGAGAACATAAGGCAGGCGTGGCCAGCCACATGCAGCCCAGCACGGTAAATGTTGTGGCCCACCAGTTGTTTAAAATTTTAATTCAAGTAAGCAGAAAAATGCAGCTCTGCATTTGAATTAATAAAAAAAATTCTGTTGAGGGGGCTAACCCCTCTCCAGACCTCTCGATCTACTTTTACTTGGGAGCTTAATTTCAGCTTCCTAGATATCTTCTCCCTAACCCCTCAACTGTGTATCAAAGTGACAGCGACAAACATATTTTTTCAATACTTAAATATATACTTAAGTAATACAATATATACTAAAAAGTTATATCTCAAAGTGGCTACAATTTGTGGATGTGTGTGGTGACACATTATATATATATAGCGATATTATTTGAGAATTATGTGCATTGTGGAAAAAAAAAGTTCTACACATTGTTCATTTTTTTTTTGTGGAAGGATGAAATGATTTGTGGCCTGTGAAGAGTTGGTTTTTCAATCAAAATAGCCCTTCAGGCATAAGAGAGTAATGACTTTTTGTTCATGAGTGAAATAAAATTTTTAGAAAATGTACTATTACTCTGCTAATGTTTAATGAGCATTAAATAATTTTAAGACATTGACTGAGCGGTATGAGCAACTTTATCAGTATCTTTTAACAAATGAAGTTGGTCAGTAAATTAATTATCTCTGATGCTCAATAAAATAGGACATATTGATACACTTATAAAAAGGTACGAGGATGTGGGTAAAATTAACTTTCTCTGAGGAAAAATACAAAAAAGTAAGACCATGGTTTCAGAACGATTGAACCAGAAAAATTATTAACACTTGTATTCCACTGAATCCCCAAAATGTTGTTCAATGTAAGTTTTAAATAAAATATCCTCACAAAGAAGCTGAAAAACTTACTTTCCACCAAAGTCCACATAAAACAATCTTTGCAATAACTCATATGTCAGCAGCGTCACGCCAAACTGTGGTGAAGATCTTAAGACACGAGCTGGAAGGACAATATTTCAACATGAGATTACGTTAAAACATTAAGGTCACATGCATGGCCCATCCTCCTTTTTTTCTAAAGTACATCATTATGTAAGACAAAATCATTAGCTCCAACAAGCTACAGTTTCAAGAGGAAGGTTCATTTGTTATTGGATAAACCACTTCCTTTTTAAAACTTCATGTCCACATAGCCCACAGAATTAAAAAAAAACTTCTATCCACAAGTCTTTTTCCCCTGAAACAGTGAAACATAAGATTAAAAGATGGTAAATTTAATAACTATGTCAAGACTGACAATTATTTCACTTTTGAATACATCATCTGAGTCCTTAGTTGACCAAGGTGCTATCGATTGAACTAGCTATTTTCATTAAACGTTGTAGTATAGCAATTTAGAAAGGAAGTAAACATTAGGATGCATGTGCATCGACAAATTTTCTTGTTGCCAAGTTCAGTAGAAGTTCTTAAAATGTAAAATAAAAACTCCCTTTGTTAAAACTATTTTTTCTATTGACTTTAACTAGTTCAAGAAACGTTTTTGAAACAATTCAACCATTCCTACCTGGTGCTCCCTTCCAGAAGGCCCCCATCCCTTCCTCGGCGTAAATCTTCTTGGCGCAGTCTATGACACCTTTGTAGGTTGTCTGACCTTTGCGTGCTGCCACCTGAAGCCTGGTTTTTATCACATCAGCTGGGGTGGGAAAGAAGGCTGCTGGCATGCCTGAAATAGATTACACAATTTGTTAAAATGTGACATGAAATATAATTTCGACTAAATTCAAATTTCAGGTTTGTATCATAACGCTTAAGATGTACGCTAGTATCAAAGAGATACAATTGCTGCAAATTTCAAGCTCTAAACTAGGATGGTCCGTGGAAATTGTCTCTTGGATTCATCTCAGGGAGAAACTGAATCACAAAATACATTTTAATACAACCAGTGCTTATTTCGTTCTTACATTTTCTAGGTTATGGGTAACTTTCATATTTTATGCTTATTTGATTTTTTTCCAAAATTGAAATATGATTCAGGAAAGAAAAGTACAGCTCATTTACTGACCAGCTATTGTGGCAGATATCAAGAGGCTGCCAGGTGAGTTGTAGCCATTTTCATCTGCAAAATATTTCTTGTTGTGTGCATAGGCAGGAAAGTATATGGCACTAAAAGGGATGTCTCTCAGGAAGCAAGCTTTGGATCCCTGGATATACAAGAACATCATTTTTTGTGGGCGAACTACAAGGACAAATGTTTACATTTAATTACCGCTTTTCTTTAAGAAATTTTCTTTTAAAAATCCCCAATTCTAGTGATAGATTTGAAAGTTGGTAACTACACATACAAATCAGATTTTTTATTTGATTGCTTGGGTTTGATCACCATATAGTATAGAGTTATTAGATAATAGAGTCTTATTTTAAAAAACATATCCATATCTGTTTGCTTAAACAAGGTGCATAATATAACATAAAATTTCATGCTGTATATATTTTCATCTGAATTAAATCAAATTTAAAGGTGAATTGGAAGCGAGCTAAATCCTTAAGAGTTTAGTTTTCACTTACTTTGTACAGACCAAAAAATCCCAGTTCCTTCATAACACTGAAAGCACTAACTCGAGCCTTGCCTACAATCTCTCCTGCTACTTGCAGACGGATCTTCACTATTTCTAAGGGATTTGTAAATACTACTTGTGATGCACCAGCCTGGAAGAGAATAATAATTTTATCTCTCGCTAATGTGATATGCCTTCATTTTGTAGAACTATCTGCTTTCTTTCACCACTACTCTAGTTCAGTAAGCAAAATTAAACAGGTGCCTACTTCTTCTTTAGCTTATGTTAATAAGTGAGTGTTATTCAAATGTGGAAAAAAAAAAAAAGGGTTATAGTTTCAGATACAGAAATTTTAAGAGAAGCCATCTACCCTTTCATGTATACATAAAATGTACATTAGAGCAGACTGAGTTACTGCTAATTTTTAACTTACAGTGCCACCAGCCACCATTTCAGCCCAGAGGGGCAATGTCCCATCTTTCTGTAAAAGCTTGTCTCTCATCAAATCATTCATTGTCAGTTTTATGGCCTTCTCAGGGGCCACACCCACAAGCTGTGGTGCCAAGCCTCTATAGAGGCCCAGAACACCCTCATGACGAATGACCTGAAAGGATAAACATAAGAATGGTCTACATTAATGAGAATCATAATATGCAGCGTAGGGCAAAATCTTAACAGAGATGAAAAAAAAATCAGAACATAAACATCTATATGAATGCTAAAATAATAAAGATAATTTAATATAGAGAAGCAAAAGCTTACATGTCGTCCCTGATTTAATGACTTAGCTAATTATATCAAGCCTACGCTAGAATATATATCTCTGAAATATTTACTTTTTTGAAACAGTCAATACTGTTTTTGTACATGAGCTCTCCAACAAAAGAAGTCGACCTCTGATTTTGAAGCCTTGTCTTTACCAGATCAATAGGGTAAACTGCAGTGGCACCAGTGGCTAGATGAATAAATAAGAACATTTTAATTAATTCAATTAATAAGTTTCAAAACATTATAATGCAATTCGTATTTTTTTTTAGAGAAGGTAAGTTTTATGTAACCAAAATGTTTTTAATCAGGCTTCAACATTTTGACTGGTAAGAAAAATTATTTTGAAGGTTTTTTTAAAAAAATAAATGAATCAAACTTTTTGTTACTGCTTTCCTCTAATCTTTCAATGTGATAATTAAATAACTTCGATAGTTATAAAACTATTGTTTCTTTTCTTCTCTGTAATTAATTTATAAATTAAAAAGCGTACCTCCTGCCAAGGCTCCAAGAGCAAATCTATAACCACTCTCAGCTACCTGTAGCAAAAATGTTCTCTCTGTATGACCCTGCTCTAGCCGAAGTTTTTGCTAGTGAAAGAAACCATCAAACAAAATCAGAATATTATAGCATTTTAGTATTAAATAATAAATTATAGCTCTCACAATATTTTATAGGTAAATTTGATAAGATAAATAAAGCTTCATGTAGAAAGGAAAATATCATCTCATGAAGAGTAAAAGTTTATGTGGAAAACAGCCTAACCTCCGCAATTTGCATTTGAATCTTGAATGGTGTTTCTCTTCCTTCCATAGGAGACAGTTTGTCTAAGTCAGCAAATGTCATCATACTGGAAGATAAGAGGCCGGAGTCAAAATTACTTTCACATTACAAATATTAAATATTTTTATATTTATCAAATAAATATTAGCAAAAAACATTGAGATGTAACTATTAAGGACCTTGAATTGAAAAAAATTAAAGTAATTTTTTAAACCACATTTCATTGAAACAAGTTAAAAAAGATAAATTCTGCCTCACAAATTAATAGGTTAAGAAATAATCAATTCTTAAATTGATCAGAGTTGTTAATGTAACCTTTGTAGTTGAACAGTATAGGAAACTAAAAACTTCTTTTCCATAGTGCATACATATTGTTGTTCCAATGTGCACAAGTATTGTGTGCAATGGTGGTATTTAATTGACAATATGAAACTGACTATTGCAGAGTATAATTAGATGAACACATATTTTACCTGAAATAATAAAATCCACCCCCCAAAAAAAATCAAACATTTGTATTCAGTGAACAGGCCATTTAAAGGAGAAACTTCATCTTAAAGGATGGGGGTAATTAAGGGAAACTGAATAATAACTCTTCAAGGACTTTGATAATAAAAAATGTGTAAAAGTTCAATAAAGTGGACTCATGGATGACAGATCATATGATAAGCCAAATTATTTTCACACACAAAATCTCTAAGGCATAAAATTAAATTTATTTTGACTCTGAAATATGAAATACTCATGAAAGCCATAAAGCAGGAAGGCAAAATTAATATTAGATCTAATTAATATTTAGTAGATTATCAAATGAAAACTATTGCAGTGTGTATGCCCTGTAACCCCAGTGAGTCATACCTATTTCTAAAATAATTAAAAGATAATGTTATTTCATTATTATGACTCTCTTTAGAAGAAGTTTAGAAAAAAAATTTAAAAAAGAAAGAATTTTTAGAAGCAATTTGATTTTTAAAAATTATTATTAAATAACTCAACATTAAAATTTTAACATTTTCACTTTCGATAACTTGCTTTACAAAAGCACTTCATTAAAACAATTCAATCATCAAAGGTTAAAAAAGTTTATAAAACTATCACTTCTAAAGTTTTGAAACTATCACTTCTAAATTGAAATGTTAGTGGTGTATATGTTATGAATATATGAAAAGGAGCTGCATTTGAAATATGGTTGCATGTAACTTTTGGCACTTCGATGGCACTTAGGATGGTGTGTTTAATAAAATAAACACATTTTAAGAATGGAATAGGATTAAAAGGTCTTAAAATATATTCAATGAAAATTTGTTTAGTAATTAAATTAAACATGACTTGATCTAATGAATACAATTGTAAAAAATTGGATAATTCATTCATAATTGATATGAAGAGAGCCAATGAAAGCAGGTATGGAACAGGAGGAAAATCAAACACTATATTTGTTGGATTTTTAAACCACTGATTTTTATCCACTTGACAACTAAAGAAGGAAACTAGAACAAATGTGTAATTTCAATTAAATTCAACAATTTACAATGTACAAGCACGTTAGGCCCTTGCATGAAGTCTTGTTCAACTCAAGCAAAATGCATTTCTAAGACTATCATTGACTACTTGTGACATTTAATCGAATTAATTCTCAAGCTATTTCAAACCTTTCTATGTCTTCTGATGATGACTGAAGCTCAGAGAAGAAAGCCAAAGAAGTTATCTATATAAAAGCAGCACCCTCCTGTATCCCTTATGGTTATCCTCATTTTTGCCTCTTCATTTACGCCATAAACTTCTATCGAGGGTGTTACCAATAAAATCAACCAACACAAGAGTTTTACTGATGGATACCAAAGATATACTCTCTTCGATACCAGTAAATTTGTTTATCTTAAGATAGAGATTTAAAAAAAAATTATGAGGTTTTAGAAAATCTCACTGTTTAACAATTAACAGTATTCAAAGGCAGGCACTAGCACATATAACTATGTGTTTTTTAAATGAAGAATTTTTTAACTTTAAAATATGTAATTCAAAGATGTATAATAAAATATACTTGTAAGCTCTTACAAGCTTATGGGATATGCCAGCTGTACTCACATATTGTCAGGCACAACCAATTTCATATGTTTATAGAACACTCTGACAGAAGGGACAAAATTAATGTTAAAAAAGGTCAACTCCATCTAAATCAGTGTTTCTTTCCCAAACACTTTTTTTTTAAATTCTTGACCTAAACAATGTTTTTATGCTCTCCTGCTGGTAAAAAAACAATCCTCCCAAAAAAATAAAAACAACCCCATCAAATCTAGAAGCAGCAAAAAAAAAATAACAAAAAAAATGTAAATCCAATCTTTGGACTTGGGGTCTTTTCAAGTGTTGTATTTAGTTGGTTAATGATAATAAACATATTAATCTAACAAACAATTCAAGTTTTGAGGAGATATTTTTTGTCAAATTTTGATTATTTTTTTACACTTGGATCCCCTTAATCTGTTTTAAAATACTCCTCTTTAAAAACACTAAATCAACAATATATGAACGAAGTGGCTATTCGGACCTGGGTCCCCGAAATGAGAGGTTGGGATCAAAATTTAAAATAAAATATTATTGTTAGGTTGTATGACTAAATTTGGTATCAAATGAAGGGTAATGGAATGGACTAAATGTTTGTAAACTTATTTCTTCAGTTTAACTAAAATAAACTACCACAAATGACATCTGAATAGCTTGAGTCTAATGGGACCCAGGTCTGAATAGCGGCGATAGGTTTCCGGTTCCGTTTTGACTAAATTCTATTCGGATGTCATTTGTGGTAGTTTATTTTAGTTAAACTGAAGAAGTAAGTTTACAAACATATAGTTCAATCAATTATCTTTCATTTGATACCAAATTTTGTCTTACAAACCCTACAATAATTTTAAATTATTTTTTAATACACCCAACTCTCAACGGGTCAGAATAGCCCCATCCATATATGAATCCAGGAATAGCAAAAGCAAGTATTTGAGTAAAACGAATTGCGGGGGGACACAGCCCTATTGCTATGTTGTAGATCAATAGATAAAAAGAAGTCATATCTATCTACGTCACAACTTGAAGAATAAATACATCCATATTGCCAAGATACAATATGCTCTACCCCCATATTCTTTTAATTACACCCCCCCCCCCCCACACTTCTTTGCCCCACACTTGGAAACACTGATCTAAATGCATCAAATGAACTACACCCTCAGGGACATCATTAATGTACTTGGTTAAAAGGTGCATTCATAAAAAATAAGCAGACTCAACTACTATCTTGAATATAATATTTGTTTTAAATAGTAAAATATTGATAAATACAAATGTGAATGTTAAGTCATGTATAAACCTGGCTGTTAACTTGTCTGTGGGAGCTCTGAAATATTCATCAAAGTCAGCTGATAGAGTGACATTCAAAATAACTGCAGTGTCTTTATCTAATTTTAACGTCACCAGTCTTGGTTTAAAGATGTGTTCCGTTGACAAGGGCAGTAAGGTCAGATAACATGCAGTTATATATTTTAGGGATAGATCACCAACAAAATATTAATATGATGTCATATGTTTTTCAAAACCACATGTAGGCTTTTTTCATCCTGCAAAAATTTTTCTTCACAGGAAGTTAAAGTTGTACCACTATCATGTGCCGTAACTAAAACTTATATCATAAATCTGAATCACAAGTTTTAATTTTAAGGTTTGCAAAAGGGGTATTACTCAATATATTTAGATAAGAAACAGTGAGTGTGGATGTGAGCTGATGTTTGAAAACAGTAGCAAAATAATTATTGTATTCACTTTGAAAAGGTCATGGTAATATTCATCTTAAACAGCTCACAGAATTCCCAAATTCATACCATATGAATTTTTGTCAGATATTTATATGGTTTTCTTGAGTCATTTTCAATTATTTTTTGGTATTTTAGTGATACATATTTAAGTACCGGTAACTAAAAAAGTCATGATGCCACAGAATGATGCACTTGAAGCTTTGTGGGTTAAAAAGGACCCTATTTACATCCATCTTATATTATACATATATTTATTGAAAAGATATGGTAAAAAGAGAATGATTTGAAAATAAAATAAAAACTCAGCAGGCTTGTGCAGGATCCCTCACTACTTATAAAGACAATACTCAAAACATAAAATTATTTATCATGGTCATAATGTCATACCTTTGTTGATTTTGTAAGTAAACAAGCTGGTAGAGAATGTCCACCTCCAGGGGAGTGATCTGTGAGAATTCTTGAGCTTGATACAAAAACTCCTCTGACAAAAGAAGAAGGCAGGGGTCAAGGTAAAAACTGCAGTCAACAAAATGAAGAAAAGTAAGGAGATTTTATAAGTAAAACAATATAACAATATAAATTTTACCAATATATAAAAAGAAGGAACTAAGGTATCCATGTAAGCTAAAAAAATTGAGAATTTTATCTGAATGTAAGAGTTAAGATGTCACCATTTATGTATTACTTCAGGAAAACCTGAAAATATGTTGCTTATTGTGTTGTTAATATTGTAAACTTAAATTTAAATTTATGTTAATTGACTAAATGACTTCTGTTGTAATCAGAATGAGACAGCATCATTTGACACTTATTGTGTATGAATTACTATTAATTTGAAAGAAATCAGATTTAGCCGAATTTGTGAAAAGGCTCATTCGAGAGTAATAAAATAATATGCTCATTAAGTGACATAATAACAAAACTATCAAATATGTGGGACTGTATTTATTCCAACAATAAACAATTTTTAATCACCTCACGATGCTAAAACTATGGCATACTTGGCTCTAAGCTCACATTCAAACTTATGCCCACAAAAAATAAAATCCATATTTTTGTTTTAAAACTAACAATCATCTAACATACCTTTAGCTAATGGTTTTGATGTGTCTTTGCGTGTGGCACTAAGATAAATTCTTTTGCAGAGCTCGATGTTATTGAGTAGAGATATGAAAGCAGTGTAGTACGCATAGCTGATCTGTCTCTGGTGTCCCTCTCCAACAATTACCTAAGTTTTGAAATCAACATTTCTTGCATGCAGATCTAAATATAAAAAACTAGCTATACTGCGGGTAAAAAAATCTAAGAATATAAGGCTGAAAAATAGCATTTGAAAATCAATGTAATGAACTATTTTAATTTAGTGATCTATATTTTAATCTCTTTAATTAATTACAAAATACTGAATGAATCTTTTTCTGAATTTTTACACTGAAACTCACAGTAACTATGTTTTCCCGAACGAAAGGAGTGAGTAGATAAGACTTCAGTGACAAGAGAATCTCTTCAAAGTCTTTTGCTGAAATATAGCCGTTGTTGTTCTTGTCTCTGCCACGAAAAGCCTGCCATGCATGTTCTTCATGGAAGTCCTAAGGAAATTCATAGTTTATTGACTCAATTTAATAAAATTTGAATTCCCTCTCTGCTTAGGATTCAAAGTAAAAACGTAAATATAAACTCTCTTACTTGCCATTTCCCAACAAAACAACCACACTTTTAACACATCAATAATATTGCAAAATAGCAACATTTCTGCCAAGAATATATTTAGGAACTAATGCTAGGAATTTCACCCAATTTTAAAAAAATAAATAATCAAACTCACATGGATCAGTTGTGTGAATTCTGAATAGGAAACTTTTCTTGATTTGTCTTTACCAAAATGAAGGCGTATAAATTCACTTTCAAAATTAAATGGGATGGACTGATATAAAGTTGTATGCTTGAGGATGTCCTGAAACTCATCTGAAAATAGCAAGTGTAAAAATATGTTAAGTTGAGATTTTTTACAAAGCACTTTATGTATTATCAATTACTAGCAAATATGTCCTTGGATATAGAAGAGACATAACCAGTATTATACTAATTAATACTACATGAGATACTTAGGCTTTTCAGTAAACATATTTAGTATAAATTGAAAGTAAAAGAACACCAAAGCAGAGGAACTTAAGGAGAAAGTGGATAAGTGTACATCTTAATTCAATGAATGTTGGTTGGGGTCAAGATATTGGTAAATGATTTGCCACTCAAAAATGAGTTCTTGGTGTCATTAATTTAGATATGCTGTCATACCTTGGTCTACATCCATGAGTTTGCCTTACTGATAATTGTATCGTCTCATAAAGCTATATTTTAAATGTTAAACTATATTAAGACATTACATTAATTAAAAATATATGATGTACATAGATTAACCCATTTTAAAAAAGGCAAAAAGCCTAATAATAATAAAGACAACCATTAGGATTTTAAAATCCCCAAAATTAATCACATGAATGTTATCATTTTACAAGAAAATCTCTAACTTTATTGTAAAATCACCCCAAGAAAAAACCCACCACATGTTATGTAACCATTTCCATTGCGATCGAAAATCTGAAAAGCCAAAGCATACATGGCATCTGGGGCACAAAGAAGCGCTTCAAAACCTTGGAATTCTGAGAAGGAGATGAGCCTGAAAAAAAGTAGCATGTCTTATTTCAAGTAGAACTGAAACTTTTTGGGACTTTTGCAATGTTTTTCATCTTTCTGGTTTAGCTGGTTGCTCCTCTACTAACACATTACAGCATATTTGTTGACTTAATGTTTTGTGCTAAGCAAATATTCCTGTAATTAGTATGCAACATTAAATACTACAGGCATTACTTTGACATTCTTATATTTCACCCCATGGTAACATTCTCAGATATGAAGCAAATGATATCAACAGCTTTCATATTTTAATACAATATTAATGTTTACATATAGTATAGTCTGAACCAACTTCTATCATGTGACTAAGCAGCATGTAGATCAAAGGCAGTGATATTTTCCCACAATAATAATATGATTAAAGGAATGAATTTTATTTAATAATAATAACAACCACAAAAGTCAGTTGTATTTGAGTTTGGGGTTACTTTTTATTTTTAAAAAAGCTTTAAAAGTAAAAATAGAAGCCAAAGCTTGAATGATATCAATTTACGATCTGTACATGTGCTGGTTCAAGAAGTCTATTTGCCTTTTATCAAAATACTATTTTTCCTTCTTTAAACCCAATTGACAGTGTTTAGCATTCCCCTCCTCACTGGTACAAACAATACCCTTGAATGTCTTACATACCCATCTCTTGATGTATCCACACAGGAGGCAAACACGTTAAAAGTGTAGGGGTCATATTTTTCAACGTCTAGTAATTGTAAGTATTTCAGAATGAGGTCTGAGTATGACATGTACTTCTCACCATCCACCGTCTGAGTAGCATACTGGAGAAGGGGCAGTAAAATATGATTATTGCAATACTAGACTAGACACATTTTTAACACCATCTAATATATCATGTGTTTGCATTTGAAAAAAAAAAAATGCAACATTTATTGTGTTTATTAACATCTCCACTGAGAGCTAAAAGAAAAGGGCAAAAATACAATGCAAATTGATAAGTGATTGGGGTCATGAAATAGAATAGTACAGTTGAAACAAGATAGTATTAAGTAGTGTAATAACGACCTACTTTTTCAAAAACTGCCCTTAAGTCATCTGTCTCCGATCTTTTGATAAGCTCAACAACATGCTGAAATCAAGATTAAAAAACTGCTTAGTACTTAGAAAAAGGTAATTACCAACAAAATGACTACACATAATGCCAGGTTAACATAAAAAACAAGAAGAAACACATACTTTCTGCTTGAACAGGACTGGTTCTTAATTTTAACTTTACAACACAATTTTCAAAAACTAAATGCAAAAGTTTCTCACAGAAAACTTTTGAATTTAACTTTAATATTATTGGAACATTTGGTCAAGACAGGAAAACATTTTCAGTAGGGCATATTTAACTCGTTATTTTCTTACACTCAAGTAAGCTACTAAAATAATAAACCTTACATCTTACCAACACCATTTTTAATAGAATTAAAGTAATTTCATAGAGCCACCACTTAATGTGAAAATGGGTTGCTTTTCTTCTCACTGCCCCGAAAGTGTTTTAAAAAAAACCCCAACAGATCTATCTTGTATCAGACAATAAAAAATAAGGTAATTGGTATTTTTCTAAGCTATTGGTATAGGTTATGGTCTTTTTGGCCATTTATTGACTAAACAGATAAAATATAATCCATTTTTCAATGCACTGGATTTTCTTTTGTTGAGAAAAAGTGATATATTTTGCCATCAGGCTCATAAAGATTTTTTCCATCACTACTGTGATTTCATGATCTGCAGAGAATGAGGTCCTTATTTTCATTATAGATCAACTTGTGTTAATGTTTCTGTGACCCCACTGACTGTCATTGATTGTTGGTTTTTAAATTTAAAAAAAAATCAAATGCTTCATTTAAGGTTCCTAAATATTAATCAAATTGTATATGAATATGTGTGTAAAAAATACATTTTGCGTGTGACATTCAGTTTTACCTAATAATTACACTTAGATCTATAGAAACACTAGTCTAGTACCTAAGTCTAAAGTTCCACTTTGGTCTGGTGCTGGGGCATACATCGGTGGGGGTTGAGGGGTTACCACAAGGGTCCAATGTTTGTAAATGTTTATTACCAGCTTAAGGGCTTGCCATATATAAAAATATTAGATATGCTTTCACTGTGTGAGGGTAAGAGTAAGGCAAAATTCTAGGCATTAATCAAATCGTGCCTGCAGGAGGCATTTAGTCAAGCAGATGCGTAGTCAAGTAATGTCACCTTCGTACAGTCAGAGGTGTAGCAAGGGTGTTTGGCACCCGGGGACAAGATCCATTTAAAAGCGCCCCTTTTTCTTTTTTTCAACTCTCATGCACATTATTTTCATCAATGAAATAATATCAAAGCACATTTTAGTGCCCCTAACTAACTGGCGCCTGGGGACATCTGCCTCCCCCCCCCCTCGCTACGCCCCTGGTCCTCATTACTTTTAGAAATAACCTGATAGTTCTAACCTTATCTTTAAAAATGCCTAGGCTAAATTTACTATATAAGTATTAATAAGCTTAGAAATATTTAATCTGAACATGTTACAATTAAAGACTGATTCAAATCTGTAACTCATTTTTGGATGAAAACTGTCAGTTAAAGCCAAGGTAGGGGCTACTCACTCAAGTTCTACCTTATCTAAATTAGGCCCTAATCGATAATGAATGCATCTTCGTGATTTAAGCTTACTAGGCAGGGTTGCCTACTGCAGACTTGCTTAACCTCGTACAATATTGTCTCAAAATCGTACAATACTGTATCTTAATAGTAAATAAACATACAGTTTATAATATATATAATGAATAATAATGCATACAATAACTATTCACACTGACTGGGATCAAGTCATTTAAACAAAAATTGAAAGATACAAAATTGAGACATCATTCATTTACAGTCTATATTATAGAAGTATCAAATGGGCTCTTCAAATACACATTATCAAATAAAATAAGAAGAAATGTGTGCACTTTACAATTTAGTGTTACTGTTAGTTAACTTATTACTAACTGGAGTTAATTTAATAAAGTACCAGCGATAATTCAAAAACCATTGAGAATACTATGACTATACACACCTGAACTGCACTTTGATCCGAAATCTTTTGATACAGAGCTATATACTATAGACCAAAGTTGACAAGGGGCCAGGGGGAACATCCATTTTTTTCCATGACTTATATAAATACTGTCCTGTGGAACACATGGCGGGTCTTACCGCTAACCCAAAACTAGCTAACAAGACACGAACAATACTAGCCTAGTCTTACTTTTACTTAGAGATGGATAGGCTATTTTTATTTTTTAGCTTTAAAAATTATTTATTATTACACAATTAACATTGTGCAGGTAAAAAATATCAGGAGCTTAGGTTATTTTCCGACCACTATTATTAATTATTTTTTTTTTAAGCCATAAAATCGATTAGTTCAATAACTGAAAATAAACCTAGAATTTAAAAAAAAAAAAAAAGATAATTAACTAATTTTAAGTATTTTGATTTTTAAATATTAATTAAATTTTTAAATTGTTGTTTATTCATAATATTATTTAAGTAAAAAATATCAGGAGCTTAGGTTATTTTCCGATCACTATTATTAATTATTTTTTTTTTAAGCCATAAAATCAATTAGTTCAATAACTGAAAATAAACCTAGAATTTAAAAAAAAAAAAAAAGATAATTAACTAATTTTAAGTATTTTGATTTTTAAATATTAATTAAACTTTGAAATTGTTGGATATACAGAATATTACTTAACACTGTGACTGTGATTGTGTCAAAAATCGTTTGTTGTGATGATGTAATTTTGTAAACACGCCGGTGGTTTGAGAAAATATTACCTTTTTAGGTGACTCGCACTTTGCCTTCATTATTGAAATGGGCCAAATCTTGGAGACAATATCCAATTTTGTCCTCTGAAATAAAATACGAAAGAAATTATATGATGAGCATACAGTTACAAATCAATATCACTCATACAACATATTGTATCAACGAAAGACGTACCGCTCCTTCGCCCGCCATGTTTCACCTTTGAGGTGAAGGTCAAAAAAGCCTCGAGATTAGTGCGTGGACAGTAACCTTGACCTCCTAAAACAAGTGCATTTTCGACTTTTAAAACGTACACAATCTTATGAATGGAAAAATTATTGCATTTTTTCCACATTGATATAGACACTAGCTTTTGTTATCGTCTTCTATATGAATAATTTTCCTATCATTATTTGAAAAGAAATAATAATTATAAAGATGAATTTATAGTTCCGTTTGAAAAACGGGAAATAAGCCATGGAAATGTTTCCAGTTAATTTAAGTAAATTCTAGAAATATTTCAAATATGCACATTATTATTATGCCTATGCATATTTGACATATTGCTGGAATTCACTTATAAGCATATACCAACAGTGACAGTTGGTTTTCCTGCATTAAGCCACATTTCAGGATGATTATCTATCTTGACGGTAATAATATTATGAAACTGGGTAATAAGGGGAGAGACTGCAATCAGGTTAGCACAATATGAAACTGGCCCTTCTACTCAAAATGATTTATATTAGTAGTTCTAAGTGGGAAAAATAATCGAAACACAGTGAGCGTCATGTGTGACGGTTGAAAATGTTGCATTTATTTCTTTAGAAAGGGATTTTTTTTTTTCTGAATGTGGCTGTTGTTGAAAGGTATTGTTATTTTCACCATGTTGCGACTTTTCTTTCCCAGGTCTTTGTTATAGACTGAACGTCATTATCTTCTCTGTCGACAGGTTATAATACCACGTCATCTCTATTCCGGGATCAGGCAACTGCATGTTCGTATCATATTGTATTTCTTTATGTGAATCGTATTAGCAGTTTCGCAGTTATGGATAGTGGCGCCCAGGGGTGTGGGGATAGATCTTCCCCAAACACACACTTTTATTCCAAGAAAAAAAAACACTCTGCAATTGACCGAAAATGACACCCCTCCATATTAGTTTAGTCAAAGTGACCTCACATCAGCGATATCGGTAGTTTTGGTCTTTATCAGAAGTTCATGTTTCATTTGTAATATTTGACGCGAAAAACATTTTTTTCTTCCTTATTGATTTAAAACTCTAATCCATATTATTTCCCTAAAGTAGACGATTGTGTTAGCAATAGAACAGACAACTCTTGTGATTTCTTGGTGTCCCACCTAGCCAATGTGTCTTAGGGTTTCTTATTTCCCCTTGGTTTTGCTAAATTCACGCTCATTCCGGGATCACAGAAGATCACGGGATAAAATAAATTCAATAAAAAAAAATTATAAAAAATGAATTTACTTTCAGTGGTGGTTTTTATAAATGTTTAATTTTGCTATTGTCTATGAATGAATGGAGGAGGAGAGTTCACATGTCATCTGTGGCGCCCCAACGGTCCAAGGACTAAGGGACATGATGAGGATTAATGAATGAAAAAGATGTTAAGGTAAGTTCAGAGTTTGATTAATTGCTATTAGTTGAAACATTTTCCCTTGCTTATCTCTAGTAATATAAGATAAAAAACTAAAATTATGATTGCTAAACAAAATTCAGATTTGACCTATATATATAGGCCTATATCTATATACCTTAAGTTAATTTTGAAAAAAAAAAATTAATTAATAAGCTAGAGGTATTTGGAAATAATCATTCTAATAAAGTAGGCTACTAGAGCGCGGGTTACAACTCATGGGTATTGAACTCTAATGGGTTTGTGAAGGGATCTCTGAGACGTCGCTCGTTTATCGAGTAAAAATGCATTTGATTTTTAAAAATTTTTTTTTTTTGGTGCTTGTTTTGCAAAATATTTGCACATTAAATTAAGTTACGTTGAAATACGCGATTTACTGTATTAAAATTGCATTTTTTTTTCCAATTTTCGTGGCGTCCAGCTGTGTACTGTGTGAGTGAAAGGTTCACTGTTTGTTTGTTTTAAAAAAAAAAACATAGGTATTAAACTCATTACCGAAAAACTAGTTTTTTCCTTTAATGATTATATTTATAAGGGGCGCCCAAGTTAAGCTTGCACAGGGCGCCAGCAACCGTCGGCCCGGCCCTGCCTCATACCTTTAGGGGGCTCACGCTTCTAGGGTCACTACGCTGCATAGGTATATTGTGAACATTGAAATATTGTTTGGCAATTTAATGTGCCTTCAATTTGCAGCGATATGACCTTTTCTTGAATTTTTTAAAACATGTTTTTCGCTTTATATATCAATTCATTTTTTTTTTCTTTTGATAAATTGTCCATTATCAAATACTCAAAATTTCACTTTATAGTAATTTAGATCTAAATGAAAATAGTTATTGTAGTTAGAAATTCAAAGTAAACATTATAAGTTATTGCATTAGTCTAAAAATTAATGTTGTTTCGGTTTCCCTCAGATAATTTACAAATAAATAACTATCTGACGCCTTTAGTAAATATTTCATTTCTTTTTTTTTTTTAAATACCATTTAGAAACGATTTATTTATTTTTAGAAATAGCCTGTTTTAAATAGCCATACAAAATCTATAGGCCCTATACGTTTTCTTCAACACAATCTTTTTTTCACTTTAATTTAACTGTAAATTTTGGGAGGAAAAAAAACGCTTAAGTTTTAAAGAAATGCAAAATGGTAATTATTATATTAATATACTAATACTTTGTTTGTTGTTTTCTTTTGTAACAAACAACTCTTTGAAGGAAAATATTTTTTTTAAAAATTCAGCTATTCAATCATTGATGAAGTAGTTTAAACAAATACATAGTTTCAAAATAAAGTTATGAAATAACATTACTAAATTGATACAGCTAAAAATCAGGAATTGTGTAACCTAAAATTGGTTAAGGGAATTTAAATTTCATGTAGCATCTTTTGTTGTTGTTGTTGCTAGCCGATTAAGTGTAGAATGATGCAAATATAAATTCATGTATGTGCCAAAATGCATCCCATCGTTTTGAATTTATCAAACATTGTCTTGGGGAGGGGCTTTCTTAGACCTCCTCCAAAGCTTGACCACCAGCTTCATTCGGAGACCTCAATGTTTCTCCCCCCCCCCTTGCCCCAATTAAAATGACAATACCCTCACATTTCAATCTATAAAATAGCATGGATGTAAGTAATCAATATGATTTTGTGAATGTACAATCTTATGATTTTCCTCTAATTTGGTATACGTATTTGGGCTATCAAGATTCCAGGGCCAAAACTAAGCTGGGGCTAAAAGCGTACCCTCAAGGGGGGTTCCACTGACAGACTGAATGTATGGTTATGAATGGCGGAGTGCGACCAGGTCAGGGTTGGCCTTGGGCATCAAAATGCCTAACGTTGGTGCCGATAAATGGACTGCCCCCCCCCCCACACACCCATGAAATACTACGACCCACTAGCCGAGGAGAAATTACCTGAAGGAAACCCGGTAAAAACGCATAGGTCATCATAGGGCTAAAATGCCTTTCATTCCATTACTTGAATAGTAGTCAAAAGCCAGAGCCAGAGGCGTAGCGTGGTGGGGGCAGGGGGGGCAGATGTCCCCGGGCGCCAGCTAGTTAGGGGCGCCAAAATGTGCTTTGATATTATTTTATTGATGAAAATAATGGGTTTGAGAGTTGAAAAAAAAGAAAAAAGGGGCGCTAAAAATGGATCTTGTCCCCGGGCGCGAATCTTGTCCCCGGGCGTCAAACACCCTCGCTACGCCACTGACCAGAGCCGTTCCGAGGTAAAGTGGTGCCCAGGGCGCATTGGTAAGACAATTTTGGCGCCCCTGTCTATGTAAAGCACATGGGAATTAATCGATTAATTCAATATTAAGGGCCAATCATAAGACGATTTTAGCACCTCCTGAATCTAGCGCAAGGGGTGATGATCCCTCTCACCTCCCCCCTCCTTCTCACGATAATGAGTATATAGATCAGTAGGTGGACTTAGTACATTACTTTGCCCATGGCCCCAGCTGCTGTAAAGACGGCCCCGCCCCTTCCGACCATGTTTCTGGTTCCTAAAATCCTATTTACAAACATAGTAAAGTGGACACAATACTAACATTTTTAAATTTGATTTCAACTTCCTACCCACACCTTTAAAAAAATATTTAAAAAAATTAACCCACAAGCTATCATCGGCCGATCACCGGTCCTTATGGCTGCTGCCATAGTGTAATCAGGGGGGTGGGGGGAGGGCTGCATTCTAGTTAGGTGGAAGGAATTAAACGACACGAAGTATGGGAAAACGTGAAAAAAACAACAACAAAAAAAAAAAACAAAAAAAAAAGAAAAAAAAAAAAAAAAAAAAAAAAAAAAAAAAAAAAAAAAAAAAAAAAAAAAAAAAAAAACGACACGAAGTAGGGAAAAACGTAAAAAAAAAAAAAACAAAAAAAAAACACAAAAAAACAAGCAAAAAAAAAAAAAACAAAACAACAGACGCAACAAAACAACAGACGCAACAAAACAATGAATGTGTCGGCAAGAAGCCTTCTTAAGCGAACAAACAGCATAGCCTCACCAAACATCCTCAGGACGTAACTAAAAAAAAATGATATTCAACTGAAATGAATAAGTTTAAAAAAGAATAATGAAAGATATGTCAATTTGCTATACAAAATATTTATTATAAATTTGTATTTGATATTCAAGGCGATAATTTCAGGATGGACTCATGAAGCATCATTCTAAAGAAAGAAATGTTACGCATTATCTAAAAATGTTTACAATTTAATACAATTTATTACAAATGACGAATGCAAAAATGAAATGTATTTTTTAATGATCGCCTTTGCGTTTAAAGTGTATTTCATATGTCACTAGGCCAGCTAGTAGACATATGGAATATTAAAAACAATGTGTGAAAAAAGGGACTATTTTATTCACGTGCTTTTCAACATCGGACGGACATCCCCAAGGTAAGACAAAACTGCAAGGACGAAAAAAAATGTTGAATGTAGAATTTCGAAATATCGAAACGAAATATAATGCGCTACAGGCACATATCATGTGACGCCTAATCACAATTTAAAAAGTCTTACAAATGTCGTGAACATCATCGAACTATACAAGTCTA